ATAATTAAGGTGTTTCACTTAGTTTGTTGGTATAACGGACACGCTATTTCTTAAGTTAATGGAAAATAAGTCGTTAAAGTTACGAAAGAATAAGAATAATGGTAACGAGAAATTAGTGGAGTCGATGTTTGTATTTTATTTGTTGGAGTTATGTTTTGGGATTTGTTAATGTTTTTTTATGGGATAAGCCGGTAAAGCCGGATCACCTGATAGTAAGCAATTGGTGTCGCGCATGGCATGGACATCTGAAACATCAGAGTCGTTAGGTACAAGTGCATTACCGGCCTTTTAGGAATTAAGTATTTGAGAATTGTTGAGGATTCAGGGATTGGGGAGACTGGGGTGGGGGAGGGGTAATTGAGTCTCCGGTGCCCCCACTCACATGATGAATCACAACGCAAGCGTTGTTTCGCGTCGGTTTTCTGTGAGGCCGTGGTATCACTCCGTTCGAGCCGGCCCATTCGTGCCGAAGCATGGCTCTCCCACACTTAATAGGGATGTTAATCGAAGTTGGTTACATTTCTATGGATATTATATTAAAACTAGTTTTGTTTGTGACTGTGCCCATATCAAGAGAAATACATTTTGTAATTTATGTAGGTACTAGCTTTTACCCGCGGCTTCGCTCCCGTCACAAAAGGATAAAAAGTAGCCTATGTACTCGACATCCCTTCAACTACCTTCAGTTAAAAAATCACGTTAATTAGTACCTCCGTTCTGACAAAACAAACAAATAGCTTTCCGCTCGCGTGAAATTCGGTTTTATCGCGCAATTGAGATTTTTCCAATAAGTAAACAAACAAACAAACAAACTCACTTTCCGATTTATAATATAAGCAGGGATTTTCTTCCATAGGTAATTGACAGCAATTTCTTCCACCAAAAACATGCAGTAATCAAGACAGACTTTTTTTCAATGCCCCTCATTTTGGCCTTCCTTCCTGAAAAGACCCCGTGATACGATGCACAATAGAAATAAAGAAAGAAAGAAAGAAAAAACATTTATTCGACAGTATCTAGTTTACCAACCATTCCAAAAACTGTACAGTCTGCTATTCACGTAGGATTCTATTATAACACAGAACATCACACCTTTTATCCCCGAAGAGGTAGGCAGAGGTGCACATTATAACACTGTACAATATAACACCCACTTTTCACTATTTATGTTATGAGTCCCATGTAATAGGGAGTGAGCCTATTGCCATATACCGGGCACAATTCCAGACTCCGTGCTACTACTGAGAATAATTAAAAACCCAATAATACTTTGCCCGACCCGGGAATCGAACCCGAGACCCCTTGCCCGGCAGTCGCACTTACGACCACTCGGCCAACGAGGAAGTCTATTTCTATTATAAACTTATTTTATTCTACATATTATTATACACGGTATTAGAGTTCAATGACATCTAATTGCATTGTGAACATGATTATATACCGCAGGACATTATTTCCGACTAGCCGTGTTTTTATATGCACTGCGCATTGTGCATAAATCATGTGGAAATTAATAGCTTTTGTTATAGAAAAATATAACCTGCAAGTCGTGTCGTTTTCACCCTAATATTTTCATTAATAGAATAATTTTTGTAATTAAACATAGAATTAAATATACTTCATATTGTACAGGCCATACATACATAACATCACGCCTGTCTCCCATTGAGGTAGGCAGATACTATGCACCGCCAATTGCTACGATTCTTACATGCCTCTTTCGCTTCGTAGAGAACATTAATGAAGTAAGACTTCATAGTCACTTAATACCAGTAGAATACCAGCTCAAGTGTATCTTGCACATGATGAACTGGTCCCATTTTGCCGCAGACTTAGGACATGAACATGTACCTATAGTACTTATAATCTAACCTTTATAATCGTGTATAAATCTATATATGGTACTTGTTTTTAGCGTGTGAAATAAAAGCTATCTCTTTCTTTCATAGAGCGAAATTAAATTAAATGAAGAAAACAATATATTATTTTTAATATACAATTTTAACTCTAACTTTTAACAACCCCCTTCGTTTCAAAATAGTTTTAATTTTTATAGAAAATTAATAAGTACGAATTTAATTCTTCTTTGCCGCCTAGCTTGTAGCTTCACCTAGCTTCACTGACGGACTGACTGATACATTGTATTTGTTGACATTTCAAAAGTACCAAACTATGGTTTAATTGTAATAAATGCTTTGACTTTGACTTTTACTTTCTTTCCAGATACCCTATCAGTACACTACTGCAACAGAGAAGTGAAGATTGCAGAAATGGGTGAAGACAGCGAGGGGTACATTCGTACCCCAGGTTACCCACACTTCTACGTCGGCGACGAGTGCCGCTGGCGACTTAGGGTTCACCCCGAGCAAAGGGTTAGGGTGACCTTGATGGATGTCAGTTTGAGAAGTAAGTACTTATGAGTATTGTTTCGATAAGGTTGGATGAGTGGCTTTGGATGTTTGTTGATTGTTGCTTTGAGTGAAAAAGAAAAGAAAATTTGTTTTTGGTGAAAATTAGATCGCCTTATTAGTTTGAGACGTCGTCGCCGAGTTACAGTATTTTTTTTTCTTCTATGGCAATTGCGTCTCTATTATTTAGTTGTTGATTATTCTGCCAGCAACATGTGTTACGGCAGGAGTTAATACCTAATGTTAATCCGAAAACTCTTTATCGATCTTGTTCTTTGACAGATACATACTGCCGTCAAAACTAAGAATGCAATAATCCCAAAATGGCGGTTTCCAGTCAAATGTTAAAAACATATTTTGTATCATCTGAGCTAGATATTTCTAATTCGAATATTGATTTGTATTTCATTGGTCTTGATTAGTACTGCTTTATTTCTTAGATAAGATAAAACTGCATTTTTTCTTATCACTGCCTCGTTAGCAGAGTGGTCGCAAGTGCGCCTGCCGGGCAAGAGGTCTCGGGTTCGATTCCCGGGTCGGGTAAAGTATTAATGGGTTTAAAAAAAAATCTCAGTAGTAGCTCAGAGTCTGGAATTGAGCACCGGGCTCAATTCCAGACAATATGGCAACCCCCTATTACATGGGACTCATATAATAGTGAAAAGTGGGTGTTACATTGTACAGTGGCATAATGTGCACCTCTACCTACCGCTTCGGGTATAAAAGGCGTGTGCTATGTTGTCTTAATACAGTACTTTGAAATCGAAAGCCCATTGCCACAAGCACAATTCAAACGAAACGTCCTTTTATCCTATAATCTCTTGTCCAAGCGACTGAATATTTCATATAATTTATAGCAGCCTTTGAGTTACTGAGGTCGACTAGCCTTTAGTTTTAAACTGGTTACTGGTGATTCTGACAGGCGGGTCTATGTAACTGACAGGTTTAATCTGATTTTGCATGGACGCGAGAGATATTAAATTGTGAAGCTGAAAATGTAGATGTGTGCTGCGAATGTAGGCTGTCGTTATGTCAGTATTACCCTATGTGATTTTTTTTTATAACTTGGCTTAATGACGTACCTGTTAATCCTCGCGGAGTCGATGGAATGGTAAAGTGTTTTTGTTTTTTTATGTAACTAACTATATAACGGGGTGATTTTATTGAATGATTTTGGGCCAAACTCTGAACATGGTGGTTCCGTCCACTTTTTTCCTTGCGCCAGTCGGGAAAAAATTAAAAAAAAAAATTAAAATGGTATTTCAATGTGATAACATCAAATTAACATAAGCTTCTATCATTTTCACAGGTATAGGACCGTTCGAGAATCGATGTACTGACCACGTGAAGGTTCAAGACCTGAATGGAGACATCCTCCTGTCGTCCTGTGACCAGGTGGACCTTCCGCTGAGGCTGACTTCCGTCACCAACATAGTCGATGTTACCGTAGAAGCAAAATCCAAAGGAGCTTATCCAAAAAGAGGGGTTTTGTTACATTATAAAAGTGAGTAACTCTTACGAATTTACTTGTTATTGTTAAAATTCATTTGGTCATAAGAATCATCAAAAAATGCAAACTTAATATTTTCTATAAAAGTACTATTCAGCGCCGTCTGTGTTTAATAACTTGTACTAAAATTTTTGTAACAGCGCCATCTAACGGTTTCTCTTTCACCTACAGGTATAGGTTGCGTTACGCCACTACCGCCATCTAACGGCTACCTCGTGTACCGCAACGAAGACGTTGCTCACTACGTGTGCAACATGAACTTTGTTTTCGTGGATACGCGACAGAGGGCGCGCTTAATATGGTGCTATGATGACAATAGATGGAATGACACTGTGCCTTTGTGTGTTGGTAAGTTTTTTGTAGCTGCAACTTTTATTTTTAGAGTGGGAAGTTCAAAGTCTGAGAATTTCAGAGAAATGACCGAATGAAAAACAAAATGGACTAGATTTAGCTCAATGATCTTTTTTTGATTGAGTTCAAAAGAGTGGTTGTTTAAACAGATTTGATTATTCGTCTGCTTCGATCCCAACAAGAAAACTGCTCAAAAATTATGTCTGTCATTAAATTAATGATTGCGGTATCATTAAATACTTACGGTGATTTAGCGATTCAGTCTTTAAACTTCAGACAATTAGGTAGGTAGTTAATTAAACTGAAAATGCTGTTTCAAATAGTTACTGGATTGTTCATAACTTTTTTATACCTTTCCCATGTTTATTTAGCTTTCATAAAAATATTTACTGCAAGAAATATACGATAAATCAGTTCGGAATAACTTCCCATAGGCTTGTCAATCTTGCCATAAAGCAGATAGCTCATAAAATATCATGGCGTAGCACAAAACTTGTCGATAACAATAAACGCTCCCCATAAAAACTTCTTTTGAACCATTTCAAAGACTTCGTGGGGAACCATAGCACATGCGCAAATTTCCAATCACTTTTCTCCGTCACACAACTCATATCACGTACGAACAAAAGAGATAGCAACATTCATTTCAGGTACACCACGATTATTTACGTTAAAAAGTTGGTATCAACTTTTGACTTTAATGCTTAGACGATAAAGATCAGAATTGATTGATGTGGGTTGTTATTATTTTCATCGTGGAACCAAGGGCTTCATTTCTCTTCAGTGATCATTTGCCCGCGTTCCAGTATAGGATATTCGGTCTCCGGTCGCCGTCGAGTGCGTTCGGCAAGTTCGAAATTCGAAATACGAATTTTGTAAAATCGCGTGTCGAGGGAAACACGTGTTTCTGCCAAAGTGAGTTTATAGTTTATAATTATAATGTGAATAATTATAAATATAAGTTATAGTTATAGATGTGATATTTAGGTGTGTTTTTATAATTATATTTCAGTGTTTTATTGTGAAGTTTTCAGTTTCTGTAAATGTTTGGTAAGCTAGTGTTGGGATTAATTGGTTAGGACACATAATTTTTAATAACATCTTTCAACTACAAAATACATTTTAATAATTATTTCACGATGAATAAATTTCCCTCCAAATAATTCATTGAATGAAAACAGAGTGTTAATTAAAAACAACTTATTAATTAAATATGGCGGGAGGATAAATATTAATTTATTATTACGTTTCAGTATTCGGTACAGTACCTAAGTTAGTATTATTAATACGTAGCTCCTAATAGTATTACGGATATCCTTTATGAATTACAAATAGGTAAGCACGGATCTAGACGCCTATATTTCAAAATTAATTTATTCAAGGAAGTGCGTATAGGTATTAGGATATCTTATACATTTTGGGTGTAATTTATACAAATATATATTAATTATTTTCATATAAATATTTAATTTACTAGTAAGTACCTACTTGTAAGATTATCTAGATACCACTGACAAACAGTGAAGGAAACATTGTGAGGAAACCTAAGCTTATAATTTCTAATTATAAGTTTGAAATTGCTTACCCATATTGAGCAAGCGTGGCGAAATGCTGAAACCTTCTCCGTGTGAGAAGAGGTCTTTGGTCAGCAGTGGGCATTTATAGGATGTTGATGTTGATACTTATTAGTAGATTAGTTATGGCTTAGAACTGTGAGATACTAGAGTCAAGGTTCAATTTTCTATGAATACTGCTATTTCTATTTACACGCTTATTATACTTATTTATACGACTTATGACTTTTATAAGACGCGTTTTACGTTTATAACGATATTCTAACTCGACGCAATAATTAGTGAGGATTGGGAGCTGACAGAGATCTACTAGGTATCACACCTTTTATTCTGTGTTATTATAATAACTATCGTGAGACATACTAAATTAACTAAAAATTGTGGGTTACTCACGTGAATATACTGAGAAAAGCTCTATTAGTTTCGAGCCATAGAGGGGTTCTTCGTCGTCGATGACAGTAGGCTGCGCGACGTCGCCACGACCGCGCACGCTGCTCATGAGGAAAAATCCCTCTGTGGTTCGAAAGTAGTAGAGCTTTTCTCAGTATTTTCACGCGAGTAACCCACGATTTTTAGGTAACCTTTTATCCTTTCAAAGGGTAGGTAGAGAACACTAAGTAACCCATTACTTCATCATCACCGTCATCAATAGCTCGTGGCAGTTCATTGCTGAATCATGTATGGGCTTCTTCTATATAAGAGGGGTCCCTCCTTCTCGTTTAGCAGGCGACTGGAAATCTGTCCGAAAGCGCTACTATCCGCGACTCTGTTAAAGGGTTGTAGTTTCGGAGTCGCGGAGAACCTAACGGGTAGCCGGGGATCCGGCTCGACGTGCAGGAGAAGGAACGGGGTGGTTTTTAGTCAGTAAGAGTCTGACACTCCCTCCCGCCTCATCCAGGCGGGAGCAGTCATTCGATGATTTTCCCTCCTTAAAAAAAAGGGTTGTAGTTTCCCTATTCCACTCATACTAAACCTATGGGAAGGAAGTACTGACAAATAACTAGAAAGAAAGAAAGAAAGTAAAATAATTTATTTAACATTAGTCATGAATTCATGTTGCACAAACATAAAATAACAATAAAAAACTATAAAAACAACAAAAGAATATAAAAAATAATAATAACAAGAACAACAAGGTGGCAACAATTATTTATTGTTTATTGATTAACATTATATACACCTATTACATTAATCAAATTAAATTACAAATAATATGAAAAAGAGAAAACTAAATTAAATTACATAATAATTATAAAAAAGGTGTTAAAAGTAAATGAGTAAATATAGTAAAACTACAAAACATTACATAAAGTTGAACACACAAAATACACGTTAAACGAAATACAATACAATTTAAAATTAAATAAATATAATAACATGTCCATGACAAAAGGGCTTGCCAACTCAGCATGAGCTGGGCGCAATAAGTACCCAACACTGGTTTTCATTTGGCACCCTAGCACGCACGGATGGAAGCAACAAAAAATATTTGAAAGGATAATAATACGATTACTTGAAACACATATTCATTTGCATCCCCATCATAGATGGTTGGCAGGCCACAACTGTACGCTTCTCAGTAGCTTCCTGCCTCGCACAGCGAAACTGTGGAATGATCTGTCGTCGGCGGTATTTCCGAACCGATACGACTTTCAAACCTTCAAGAAAAAAGAGTACTCCTTAAAAGGCCGGTAACGCACCTGTGACTCCTCTGGTGTTGCGGGTGTCCATGGGCGGCACTGATCGCTTACCATCAGGTGATCCGTCTGCTCGTTTGCCTCCTATTCTATAAAACAAAAAAAACACATAATTTGATTTTAAAAAAGAAGGAAGTGGTCTACATCGTCCAAAATACATCTTCATACATCAAATAACAATACTAAGTAATCAGAACTACAAATGCTAACTACCTATAATGGGTTTCGTACTTAAAACACGTGCATTGATCCCTTATCGGTTACACATTTGAGCAGCTGTTTCATAGATAACATTAACTATTGTACTATAGACGACCGTATATCAAACTCCACTGAACTGGTCAACCTTTTTACTCGATTTCCAGCCTTATCATATTGTGATAAAGTTGAAAATCTATTAATGATTTTGGGTTACCTTGATGTGCTTGATGTTTAGACTTGGAACAGCGAACAACGGTTCCAGAATTCGATCGAAGGTTAACCTAATGTGAGGTGTTTCGATTTTTAAAATTCTATCTAATGATAAGCTTACTATAATAACAGGTTCACTCTCTTCATCTGCTATCCCATCTCTATTCCATGCAGTATGTTAAAGAATCCAAGGTAATATTGATAAACATTTCAAGTATGTATTCTTAATAACATTTTATAATAAAATACTGCCTCATTGGCCGAGTGGTCGCAAGTGCAACTTTCGTGAATGTGTTGAACAAAAAAAATAGACTGTCGGTAACTATGGGTCAATGTGTAAGTGATACATTTAACCACTCAGTCTACCCTTTCGAAGAATAAAGGGCGTGATATTATGTATTTGTGTGTATGGTAGAGTCTGTTAATGAGAATTTATCAAAGGCCATTAGTTTATCAGTACAAATGTTTTCAAAGAAATAATTATAACAATTATAAATAAAAGATATATTATTTTGTGTACCAGTTATTGATAAGAATCTGAGTTCAAGGCGCGTTGTAATCATTCGTTTTTACTACTAGCAGTTGCCCGCGACTTCGTTCGCGTAGAATATTCAAATCATATTCATTCATAGTTATTCGGAGTCACGGAGAACCTAACGGGTAACCGGGGCTCCGGCTCGACGTGCAGGAGAAGGAACGGGGTGGGTTTTAGTCAGTAAGAGTCTGACACTCCCTTCCGCCTCACCCAGGCGGGAGCAGTGATTCGATGACTATGCACGCTTCAAAAAAAAAAAAATTCATTCGTAGTTTAAATTTTCCAAAATAACAATAGCCTATGTTACACCTTAGTACATCAGCTACCTGCCAGTAGAAATCTTGCAAAATTGGTCCAGCTATTCCAGAGATAAGCCAATACAAACAGACCAATAAATAGACAGAAATTGTAAAAAATGTTACTTTGGTAACATCGTATGTATGTTCATATGCATGTATTAAACAGCGATTATTTTAATATTACAAACAGACACTTCAATTTTATTTATCTGTATAGAGATGTATAGAAGATTATTTATAGCTGTCCTAGTAATTTTAGAATCAATGTTGATTGGCAATTGTTTCTAATACGTAACACTTTTTTTAATCTTTTATACTTATTTGTCTGGACTTTAAAAGAGACGGACCTCTGAGTTTGTTTCGGCATTTTTTCTCAGAGTAGTCAGTTAGGAAATGTCGACTTCATCGTTCGCTTGATAAAATTGACGTGTAAAAGTGCTGCCTAGTAGCCTATTTGCAAAAATAAATTCACTAGTTTCACTTGTAATGTCGACATGATTATTGTTCATTGTGGTGGAATGCATAAAGGTTATCAAAATCGGTGCAGCCGTTTTCGAATTGTAATTGGTGTGACGAACATGACTTATTTTTACATAAATTTTACAACGTACTTTGTGATTTGGGAAAATAGAAAAATTATTGTATATAATTTAATGATTTAATTAATAGTATTTTTTTGCTATTGAATTTATAATTACTTAGTTGTTCTACTTATACATATAGCCGACGATCTCAATCAACATATAAATTTTATCTGTAGAATAAAATGTGACATTTAACAGTTTTTATCATCGATGATTAACATCACGCCTTTTATCCCCAAAGTGGTAGGCAGAGGTCCACGTTACAGCACTTAATGCCATTGTATAATGTAACACCCACTTTTCACTATTTATGTTATGAGTCCCATGTAATAGGGGGTGAGCCAATTGTAAGACTCTGTGCTACTACTGAGAATTAAAAAAAACCAGTAATACGTTGCCCGACCCAGGAATCGAACCCGCGACCCTTTGCGCGGCAGTCGCACTTGCGTCCACTCGGCCAATGAGGCAGTCAGTAACCGTTTTCAGTACGGAAGAATTTTCAAATAAGTATTCAAAATTAGTCGTCCGACAAAATTTATTTGGCTTTAGAAAAGTCGACCTTAAATACGTCTATGACTACTAAAAAAACAAAGAACTTGCAAATCAGTCCCGTCTCCCGTTAGCACGTTTTCGAGTTAGGTATAAACTGTATGACTAACATCGCTTTGTTTTTAATATGCATATAGAATAAGATTACAAATACATAAGGTAATGTACATTCTACATCCATTTTTATATATACTAGACCATGATTACTTTTGTTTTGTTTTAATCTATATATATAAAAGAAAGTCATGTTAGTTACACTATTTATA